CTGGCACCAACTACTCCAACGGGAGCTCACGTCACTCCTGCGGCTCCTCAGGAGGATCTCGGTCCTACCTGCCAGACCGCCTGCAGATCGTTAAACCTCTAGAAGGTAACAAAGTTTGGTTTACAGGTGTTTTCACACCTGATAGTCTGTTAGACACAGTTTGATTGGCAACTAAAGTTGCAACATTTGGTGCGGTTTGGTACTGTCAAAAGATCCAAATTTATTGAAGAGCCTGCTTTACCTCCTCGCCTGTGGTGGCGCTGCACCAAGAACTACTCGATGAAATGACTTGAAAATCTCAGGTGAAGACCTGAGCTCCATTTCCTTCTTCACAAAATGTAAACCAAAGTGAAGTGGCATCAGATCTTAGGATTTGTAGGATTTCTCTTTTGTTTTTGATCAAAGACCTCAAGCCATTTTTCTCGCTACCACCAAACACGCATGTTTGTTTAGGCTGTATTTACCCAGAATGCCCCAATCTGTTGTTTGCTTTCCGCTTTTAGAGAAGCAATAAGTACAACTTTTAGATAATCAATTGCAGTCCTGAATTATAAAAACAGTGAAATTTCCTTTTTTAATTCAGTGCTGGTGGAAAATGACCAACTACATCAACTTTTGTTGGACTAACTGTTAGCCAATCCTATGACCTGTGTTTACAAATCACTCATAATACTGACAGATAATCAGTTTAAAAGTCTTGTCAACAGTGAAGCAATCTTTACTAGTCGAATTAGTCATCACAATAACTGCATTGCTTCAGAATAAGAGCCCATAGATGATATGAAGTTTATGCATGTCACCTTATTATTAGAGCCTGGAATAGCTGCTTGCTCATTCTAAACCAGAAAAAGTCTCTTTCCATGAACAACTGGCTTGTGCTTCTCAACATGAACTTCAATTGGAGAATAACTATTATTTATTCTGACACACCATCCAGAAAGGGACAAATCCAGGAAACGGAACCATAGAAAACTATTTCAGCCAAGCGAGGATCTGCTCAGTAATCTGTGTTTTTGTTTAAGACGGTCCAGAGACAGTCCTCTGTCTGTCTGTCTCTCCATCAGGTTCAGTGACTCTGCACCACTGGCAGCAGCTGGCTAAACCAAACCTGGGGGGCATCCTCCACCCTCGTCCTGGAGTCCTGACCAAGGACTTCAAGGAGCTGGAGGTGGACGTGCAGCACGTCTACAGCCTGAACGACCTGGAGGAGGATGAGCCTGACCTCTCGCAGTTTTCTGCAGCTCATGGTTTGGGTAAGACGTATGATTATTTAAAGTATCTTCCATTTTCTCAATCCTCTTTAGCTTATTAAAAGCCTAAAAGATGTATGGGTTTTTCCTCCATGTGAGGTTTAATATTTGTGTCTCCTCCCTTAACCGGACAGCGTCCTCATTGGGTCCCAACCTCCCTCAGACCTTCCCCACACATCCCAAAACCACCTGCAAAGTCCTCCAACCCTCCCCCCACATCCCCTCCTTCTCCAATCGGTAAGAGCTCTGCAGGTTACGCTGCTGCTGTCTGGTGATTTTCACACCTCTGACTAAATTCACTTTCATATTCGATAAAGTTAAACAATTTCAAGCCAGCTGATCAAATTTTTCTTTTTTTTTCGTTTTCATATCAAATGAAAATGTCCAGATTTTCTGTCTTCTTTCCTCCTGACTTTGTCCTCTTTGCCCCTCCCCTGGTAGAAAACGTCTATCCAGGGTCACTCTGAAACTTTAGAAGCAGCCTGCAGGGAAAAGTAAGAGCCTAGCGGATGCCTGCATATTAACTAATTCATGTCCTAAATGTTTGCTGGCATCCTAACTATTAACCACAGAGGCAGAGTCACATGTTAATGTGGCTAAACTGCAGCTTAATGTGAAGTTACAGCTGCAGAAAAACTGACAGTTAACTGCATTTGAGAATAAATTGTTCGTATATGTTTGTTTGAGAGACACCCAAGAAAAACCAATGAGTCAAAGATATAATGAATAATATTTTTTGAAGGGAAATTTAGCTGGGAGACTCCATTATTCATTTTATTCACAGTTTCTGTTGTTTTTATTTCCCTTTCATTCATTGTTTTTGTTTGTTACGTTTTATTTTGGAAAATATCTTCCAGTTCCATTGGTTCATTATACAATTAAAGTTTACAAGTATTTGAGACGGCTGAGTTTTCACCATATCATGCCGTTACCTGAAGATGATCTCAAAACAACAATATTATTGCTTATCAAAATAATTTCTGGGACAATTTATTGTACAATAACAAAATGTGTTATTGTGACAGGCCCAGTAGTGTGAAGGTTGGATAATGTTAAGGACTGAAGATTAAATCTAACTCCATAACTTGAAGGAATTGTTTAAAACCTCTGATCACATGTTTACTCCATCTGATCAGGGAGGAGTAACAGATATAGTGGATAAATCTGTGAGTTATTAAGCTGAGAGTTATCAATCTATGAGTTATTAATCTGTGAGTTATTAATCTGAGCCCTCTAATTCCTGAAGCAGCATCTGAACCCATTTGTAGTCCAGACGCTTTTCTTCATTTTGAGCCACGTCAGATCGATTCTCCTTACTGTCTTTAAGCTTCATCTCATGTTTGGCATCAGTTCTCCAGTTTCTCCTGTTAAATTTCATCAGACAAACTTGTTTAATTTATACAAGTTATATCACACATCAGTCTTTGATATAAAAAACAAACTTTCTCAACCTGATTGTACTAATGTACACAAGCTGCGTTTTGTGTGAGCTCCTTGTTCTCAGGTTTCTCTTGTCAATAAATAACACAAATCACATTTTACCCATTAAAAAAAACAATGTTTAAATGTAGTTCAGGATTTTTCCTCTGCCTCTGTGCTCAACACACTCTACTAATTTTATTTACTGCTGATGTTAAAGTCGTCTCAGCTGACTGAAGTCTCGGCTGTCGTTCTGCATCAATCGGCTGTTTCTTTCTTTAAGTTTTCATTAAACAAACAGATGCTGCCTTATTACGCTTAACAAACTAACACGCTTCTCCATCTTTTAGAGATGAATCACCAAAATAACCAAAACTTGTTTTGTCACCAGTTTCGCAAAGGTTTATTTTGTTTTCCTTTGAAGGAGCCAGACTTCGATTTTAGCCCTCAAATTTATTTCTTCTTTTTATCTGGACTTTTGCATTTTTTATGCTGTTATTATTATGATTTATATGTTTGTTATTGTTATATTTCTATTTTTTATATTATGCAAAATATCTTTGACGTAATCATATTAATATTCTTACAGATATTTTTAAGATTTTTTTATTATTATCTTGAACATTGTTTTTAAGAAAAGCAATGTTTTCCAATATAAAATAGAATATAAAATAATGAGTAATTTTTCTGGTACATGTTTATTATCAACAATTATTACTTAATAATTTATTATTTAAGTTTTAGATTTGAATACAAATGTTTAATATTTCTAATAAATCATTGTTTTTTGTTACTTCAAATGTATATTTTTTTATTTTTGTTATTTTATTACAAGTTTACTGTATATTTATGTGTGAAATGAAATGACTATTTTTTCTATCTTACTTTAAAAATATGTCCAGCTGCCATGACACATAGGATGATGTCTTTTAAATGAGATCTTTCAGCACATTATTTCTAACAATTTAATGTTTTTGTTTGCAGCCTTCGCTCTTTCAGCCTGCCACCTCATCGGGACCGTGAGCATGTGAGCGCCTCGTCTTCCTCCACCGCCGGCGCCACTGCATCCCTGGGACTGCTGCAGCTGCTGCAGCAACACGGCATCTCCGCCTCCACCGACCCCTACAGCAACCTGCACTACACCCCTGCCGCGCCGCCGCCGCCTCCTCCGACCTCCGCCGTGAAACAGACGGGAGAGTCGAGCCTTTTCAGCCTGAACCTGGTGGAGAAGCTCCAGAGCCTCGGGCTGCACCGGGTGGCGGCCTGGGGAATGATGGGCCGGCGAGGGCCCGATGGACACAATCCCTCTGCAAAACTTTGACACACTCACCCTGAATCCCCCTCTTCACCATCGTGACTTCACATTGAGCCATGAGATTCCCCCACCGTGCAATTCACAGCCCACCACAGCAACTGTGTCTTGAAAAACAGAACGCCACCGAATGTGTTGGAGCCACGCTTGAGACGTGAACCGGGTAGAGAGATGAACTCAGCCAGTGTTCATGTCAGGAGCCGATTACTGCTTCTCATCGCGCACACACACACCCACACACACACACACAAAACAGCAAACTGAATCTTTTTATATTGTGTTGGTGAGCGTCATTTTACTGTTTCCATCGCTGATTTTAAATAATGTAATCGCTTGTTGTTGTTGTTTTTTTTAGTTTCCAAAGTGTAAATAGTAGTATTCTTGTTTGATATTTAAAGAAAAAAAAAGACTACATGCAGTATAAACTGACGTTGTGGCACTGAAGAACATTCAGATGCACCAAAGCACTGATTTTCCTGTAACTTAGAGCTGCTACACTGAGAGAAACTGATACAGGAGCGCTGCAGTGACGTCCGTCAACCTCCCACATATCTTCTCATCTTCGATTTGTTTTGTGTGTCGATCTGAGCCACGCCTGAGCGAACGGGTTGGACTTTAAGCGTACAAAGAAACGGATCATGTCGATTCTGCTGTATTTCACACCGTCAGGATTCTGTTAAACCGCTGGGAATTCTGTCTGATCAGGATAATTTTTCTGGGCATTAAGAGTGATTTCTCAGTCTTTTAATGTTTGAACATTCAGAGCAATCAAATGTAGCAAAAAATGGCATAGGATACTGTGGATTTAAAAGGGAAGAAATCATAAACACAATGTTGTAATTAGTTTTTGACCTAAATATGCCAAATTCCTGTTTCTCTGCACTGCTTTCCACTGTAGTCTGCCAGCTCTCTGTCAGTGTGTTTTACCACCTGAGAATAAAAAAAACAAACATACATTTTCATCCATTTCAGCTTCGAATGTCATTCAGTGAAGATGAAATCAGTCCGGACCACAGAGATCATTCTGCAAAGGTCTTTATTTACACATTTTCAAGCCTCAACTTTTCTGTACATCGTGAACAAACACCAGGACAGAGTTGCTGTCCTTCCTCACTCCGCTGCGTCCCTGCGTCCGAAGTCCACCCAGCCCTGGTAGTCGCGGCCCAACATGCAGTCAGAGTTTATCACCTCTGTGAACAAACCATTCCTACGTTGAACCACACACACACAACACCTCAGTGCACAGATCTGATCACTTTCCGCACAGTCACCCATCTGATCAGATGATCAGAAGGAAACGTTCTCAGCCGCCCCGGCGTACCTGCGATGGCTTGCATGACCTGCTTGGTCATTATCTCCCGCTCGTCTTCAGACAGGTGCGCCCGTCTCTCTGCCCGGGTCGCCGACGCCTCCCTCACTCCCTCCCTCTTGGCCAGGAGCCGCTGCAGGACGTCCGCTCCCTTCGCCTGTCCGGCCGCGGCGCTCTGAGGCGAGGCCGCAGAATCGGAGGCCATCGACGCCACCAACAGCGCAAAGACCAACATGACTTTTCTGGACATTTCTGCACCAAGAAGATGGAAAAAAAAGAGAAAAATCTGTTAGAAGTGCAGGTGAGATCTTCCTCTCGCACACCAAAAATAAAAAGTACCTGTGAGGATGGGGTGGGACGTTCGCTCTGAAGAAAGATGCTGCTTCGGCTGCAGACCCGAGAGCCGGTCAGCTCTTTTATACCACCTAAAATCAAAGACTGATAAGAACCTTCATCGGGGAGCATTCGATGGATTGGGAGACAGATGCTCGGGAAGGAAGTGCGTAAAGGAAACGATGCGCCTTAAAACCCGTAATTATGCTTTTCGCACTGCAATAACAATAAAACAAGTCGATGAGTTTAAAGAAGAAATTCAATAATGTTTTAGAGCTGCTTGCAGCCAATAAAGTATAATGGTTCATCTGCAGATTATAAACACAGAAATGTCAACCAAAGCAATAAAAAATTAAAAACCCAAGATTAAAAAAACCCAAAAAGCTTTCAATATTTGAAATGGTAACTTTTATAGAGGAAGACCCTGATAAAAAGAGAAACACATTTATTACTTAGATTTTTATAATTGCAATATTTCTGTACTGAGATTGCATTTCTTTTAGCCAATTATATCGGCTAAGCTTAAAATAATGATTTTTTTTTTTTTTTAATTCTGCCAGTCGTTTCCTCTGACCACAGGTAATGCATTAGGGTGATGGTAATGAGGCCCTCCACCCTCTTAAGATCTGCAGCTCAGCACCAAAGATAAACCATCACATTCCCAGCTCTGTCTGTGAGTATTTATCCAACTAAAAATTTTACCCAATTAGGGTAAAATTTTTATCAATTTTACCCTAATTGATAAAAATGGGTCAAACTGACTCAGACGTTTCAATTTGTGTGTAAAATGACCAGCAGGCCTCCGCTGCTCCCTCTAAATACTCACAGTGGAAGTCTAAAAGCTCAGATGTGTTTTTCTTTTCTCTCTGTGGGGAAAGTTTAGTTATCTTTACAATGGGTCCAGGAGGATGGAGACGAGCCTCAGCAGGAAGTGAGCTGCTGCTGGACTTCCCGGGTTGCTTTCCCGTTAGTGACTCCACCTCGGAGATTAGAAGGCATTAATGATGTTTGCAGTCAGTATAGATTTTCTTTCTCGGGTGGCTCGTTCAGCCCACCCTCTGCAAGTCAGATTCCACCAACACCAAACAAAACTTTCTATTTCTAAATTCTGTGTCGCTGAAATAATCATTGCATCTATTCGTGCAGCATCAATCTAATCTGATCACGGAGTCAACTTTCTCGCAGGACCAGATTCCCAGATCAGACTCGTACGTTCAGAAAATGCGCACACGCCCTCCTTATCAGTGAAGACGGCAGAAAGTTTTCTGTTGCTTTTAGATTGTTTTCACGGATAAAATATCCAGATGGTCGACTCAGAAATGTGGGTGAGCCGGCGCTGGCGTCGCGCTCACGTCCACCTGCTCACTTTTCAGCTCTCACCAGGAGCAAAACCAAAAAAGAAACTTAACAACAACAACAAAAAAAGTCTGACTGGCTTTATTTCAGTGAAAGCTGAACTTACTGCTGGGATGAAGGAGACATTAGTTGTTTATTTTTCTTGTCTTGAGGAAGTGATGGTCTGTGCAGTCAAAGGAGAGCCAGGCACAGGCTTAAATTCAAAAAGAGTTTGTTTTATTGAACCCCAAACAAAAACATGGGTAAATAATGACAACTAACAAAATTGGGCCCATGAAGAGGTCAAAGTAACAGAATTCAACTCAGACTGACTCAAACCAACAGACCTGCCTAAATGAGACCAAGTGATAGAAAACACGAAGACGAGAACCCACAAAAACCTAACTGAAGCTAACATAGGAACATCCCATCTCTCCTCTTGATGACGGCATTGACTCTAAAATAGAAATAAAAATATTAATGTGCTATGAACCACATTAATATTAACCCTTTTGCAGCTCTTTGTTCTCCTGAAGGACTGGAGCAGCCGGCACTGAAGTAACTCAAAGAACAAACGAAATCAAGCAAAACATAGCATGTTTAAAATGTGCGCACTTATTCTAGAATACAATGTAATGATGTATTTCCTTCTAAACAAAACCAGTTATTCTGTAAATTAAATCCCAGACTTAAAGAAACCCAAATGTGAACGTGGTGAGGCTGAGTGAACTGTTGTGTGATTGGATGTTACCACATCACAGATGATTACAAGAAAAACTCTTGTTTTTTTATTTTATTCCCCATTTAATTTAATTATATTCGTCAATAAATTACTATTATTACTTCAGTTCTAGTTAAATATCTAATGTTTTCATACCTTCTCATACGGCTCTACACTATGATGATTTTCGTCAGCAGAGATTCTTTCTCTTTCCCATATTGCTGGAAACCTGTGGCCTGCTTAATAATGTGGAACATCCTTAACCAGACAAACGAATCAACACCATCTATAAATTTAATAGCACAACAAAAAATGAAATCTTTGACACTTAAATCCAATTTGCATAATAATTTGGAACAGTGTACTGCCCCATGCACCAGCATACAGCTGGATATCAGTGTAATTGTCTGTTTTGAGCTGCAGAACAAGATGATTTAACCTTTTTGACACAAACACGCCCATTCACTTGTGAATCTCTATTATGCTATGTGCATACCTCAGGTAGTCATGCTGTGGGCCCTGACGCCATCTCATCTCTATAAAGGGCCCAGCTGTCTGCAGCAGAGTCAGTCCGCACCGTCCTCCGCCTCCTCCTCCAGCTCAGCAGCATAATGTCTGCGCCTGTCAACCAGCAGCGCTTCAGCTCCAGCTCCCTGGGAGGCTGGACGCTGGAGTCCTCCTGCATCGGCCCCCGGAGAGTCTCACACAGCGTGCATGGAGGAGCCGGCTGCTTCGGGACGCGCATCTCCCAGGGGTCGTACTTCAACTCCTCGTGCTCTGCAGGCGGCGACTGGCCTGTGCTCAACGAAGGCAAGTTCACCATGCAGAACCTCAACGACCGTCTGGCCTGCTACCTGGAGAAGGTAAGACCCGTTCGCTCCGAGGGTTGGGATGCAACATTTCTGAGGGTTCAACATTGTAGCCGAAGCTCAGTCATATATTTGAGATGGTTCTTTAAATCACAGGGTCTGAGAAATTTTCTTTATTTCAGCTTCAAGTTTCAAACATGGCAAGCTGCAGTTTCTGTTGGTGGTGGATCATATGTTCATGCTTTCCTCTAGCAGAAGCTCTCATCTGTAATGAATCAGAAATTTAATAGATTTTTGAGTTTGGTTTTAAACGTAAAGGTTCAATTGATCTATGTGTCTTTTTATTCACTACTTTTTTCATCTAAAAAGAGAGGGTTTCAATTCTAGCTCTGTGTAAATGAAAATGCTGAAATACATACAAAAACTTCCCTCCTATCTTAAACATTTTAGAATGTGTCTTTATTTTTCTTTACCAAATTTAATGAAACAAAACTTTTATCACTTCCATTAGATGTTGTCCTCTTGACTTCAGAGCCTTCGTTCAAATCTCTCATCTCTGTCCGAAAGAAACGGCGCCTTCTACTGTTAGGAAGGTGACAGGAAAACATTCCTGCTTATCCAATTTTTACTAACAAAAAGAGAGAAAATGTTTTCTCTGTTTTTTCTTTCTCTTTTAGCCATTTTGTGATGAGTGAACTCAGCCTGTAAGTGTTTGTGTTACAAACTGTTAAACAACTAAGTCAACTTTCAAAGGGAAAAATCTAAATCTCAGTGATCAAAGAAAAGCTCAAAATTCATCATTTTATGTTGACTTTTCAGAAGGAAACTGCTGTTTTTTGTAAGGTTTGAAAGATGTTCTTTTGCATAATTTTTCCTCACAACAGAAATCAGAGAAGATCTTCACCAAGAATCAGACCCAATTGTGTTAAATATTGTTCCTGGGAGTATTTATACTTATTTGACTCATTTCACAGGGCTCTGGTCATTAAGCAAGTGACAGTGGAAGTTGAAGGTAAGAATTTCGACCCTTCACCCGTTTAATCCTGACGCTTTTGTGTCAAAATCCCCGAAATGTTCTCATCTTCTTACATCTTATTGACTTTATATTCCCTTTGCAGAGCAAAAGCCCCACATTGAGAAGAGAGTGAAGACCATCGTGGAGGAAATTGTCAATGGACAAGTTGTGTCCTCCTCTGTTGACACTCAAGTGCATACTGTTCAGTAGCCTGCCTGCCTCCTCTAAAACCTGCTGAGTTTGTGATTTAGCTGTGCTTTTTAGCTGGCCGCATGTTGTTTTTGGTGTTTGGGATTTGTCTTGACATATGCAGCGAACTTGATTTCTGCGATGGTCTTTATCCGGGCTCTGCTTTTGGAAAAATCATAACCCCAAAAAAAATTAAAAAAAAATCAAATAAACAACTTCAAAAATCCAGTGGCAAACAAACAGAAAGTGAATCTGGGCTCAGATAAATGTCTGTCATTTTGATCATAGTTGAAGCTCATGCCCCTCTGTACGTTAATCATAGTAACTAAAGATAAAATATATAACAATACTGCAAAGGTTTTATAAACCCAGTGTTGATCTCTTCAGAGAACATAAATTTCACTTTGATGTAATGTACATTATGACCACCAGGTGTCTCTGTTGTCTCTGTGAAGACGGTCTGGCACAGCTTCATGTTGCATAACCTGAATTTGCTAAAATGGAAACAGATTTTTTTTGTGTGTGCTGCAAAACAGACTCTTCCAAATATGGTTAGCTTGGTTCACTGGCAGTAAGTTAATTATCTGTTGGATGAGTAAAACTGAAGCTTTATTACACATCCAAAAGTCCTGGAGGAAACGGAGCCAATGCTGGAAATGATTTGACGCAGAAGCTTTTTTTTCTCTCCTTGTTTTAATAAATAGATCTTACAAAGAGGTTTATTATGCTCTAAGAGCTAAAATTATGGGTTGCTGGTCATTCTGGAGACGTCAAAGATTTCTTGTCAAAGTGGAGTTTAATGAAGCCGAGCGTTGGATGGGATCAATGCAGTAATTCACTCGGTAAAAGGGATTAAGTGATTTGAGGTCACCCTCTCCTTTTGCTGCTTTTGTGCGGCTGCTTTCTTTCAACAAGCTGAATCTGTTTGGAATCAGAGCCGTCATCCATAATCCCCTGTCAACATGTCAAGTTTATGTAACAATGAAGGTTCAGGAACCTGTGCTGAAGCACAGGATCTTTATATTACGTACAAAAAAAAATGATGTTTTCAAAGTGGCGCAGGTAGGGGTGGGCTTGTGGTGCTGCAGCCCCAAAGGGCGGATACACTAATTAGCACTTTACACAAAGCATTACATTTTTTAAGAAAACAGATAACATCAAATCAATTGAAACTTGTTTAAATAGACCACAGCCCAGAGTTGGTAGCACAGGAAGCTTGAACAGCCTTTAGCTCACTTCAGCTGTATTTGTTAAGGGCAAATACAAAATAAACACCATTTCAGATATGCAATCATAAAATACACCCTTTATGATAAGATGTTCTCGGTTGACTCAACTTCACTTGAACAAGAACACACCCTGTATATTTCACCATGCCATGAAAACTGGGAAACAGTAGAGAAATACTCAGCAGGCTAGAAACCCTAAAAGTATCTAAAGATAATTTACTTCCTTTGCTATTTTAACCACATGCGTATAATTAAGTCAAATCCAGATTTATACAATTAAGTGCAGTCAGATTTAAATCCTGCATAAGTGCATGCAGTCCCATTTCAACCAGTTACTAATTGTAAAAGTGCAGGTCAGTGAAAACCTAAAACAAATCTGCATTAAGTCTTCTCTGGAGGCCTCAGCTCAACAATCTGCCTCTCAAGCTTCCTTTACGAACACAAGTAGCAAAAAGCAGCTTAAATTCGCTGAAACTGCGTGGAATGTTTTGGATGTCTTCGTTGATTTTGTTTTTCACCACAGTGAATCCGTCTGCCTCCTCCAGACAGCCTCTGCACCGCCGCTTCGGCCTCCATTGTAGTTGTTTGCTGCTCCTCATCGACACGAGCAAACTGCACAAAACTGTCCAGGAACCTCAGGTGCAAAAACAAACAAAAAAAAAAGAACGCCCTCAAACATAAAACTCTGGTTGTAGCATCTCAAATTTCAAAGTGTTTCCTCCTGATGTGAAAATTGTAAAAAAAAAACAAATGGCTGTCTGAAGACACGTTTTTTACAGTCAATCAAACCAGAACGCGGTTTACCACATTCGTGTTCAGGTCCTCAGGAAATAAAACCTCTCCTTCAGTTTACTGGAGCTTCCTCTATCACTACCACAACACCACACAAGCACGCTACATAGCTTTTTTTTTTTTTAAATTGGAATTAATCAACTTTGATTTTTATCACTGGGAGCTGTAACTTTCCAGGTTTGTGAAATCTCTGCAGCCTTTGCCTGGAAACCTGAGTGAGGTGTGGTCACTCCCTGCAGGGCATCAGAAGAAATCCGTACATGAAACAGAGCGTGCAGCAGAACACAAAGACACCAGATTACTGCCAAAAAATAAAAAAATAAATAAATCAAAATACCTGACGGGGCTGTGAGTCATCTTGGCACTAACACACACCCTCACAAGGAGTTGACAGATACTGTTTTGCATTGGCCCTCACAGAAGGGATCCACGCCCAGGTAAAGGCCGATGGGCATGTCTAACATTACAGTCATACTGTTCTTCGTTTCATGACAAGCAGGGGGTGAGGGGTTCTTTCTATAAGCCGGGAAAGTACTTTCTACTCCGACTGGAATCTGCTTTTTGCATCATGAGCAGCGTGCAGTGCAGGCAAATGTGTGACAAGGAATTAAATATGATCTTCTTGCCTCAACCACAAACGGATCTCCAACTTATGTGCAATAATAATCCACTTAAGAAGTCATAAATTAGGTTGAATCTGTGGTGAGGTTTGGATCGTTCCAGCAAGCGAAATGCTGATTACTTCATTCAGCAAAACGGAGCAGGCAAATACAAAGCTTCCAAACAAAAACCACAACCACACCTTGGCTTTCGCCCACACATACCGACACCATCAATCAATCGCTCCCCGAGAAATGAAACAATGGCTTTACTGTGACTGTAAGAAAGGTGAGTGTAGTGCAGGAATGAGCAGCGTTAAAATGAGTTGTACATTTAAGATAAAAACAAAGACAAAGACAAACAGACAGCAGGTGAATATGGTGTTATTAACTCTTATTTACAGGTGCATTTTCCTCTGTTTGCTGGTGTGTAGTACCACAAATCCCCGGGATTAACCAGACCTAAAAGAGTTCATGTTGGGCGGTGGGAAAGGTTTGTGCTTCTTCAACTTGGGAGGTTGATTTGTTCGTGTGGAAGAAAAAATTTGCATTGTTGATTTTGACCCGTCTTACTTGCGTGAATCAATCATGGGGTTAACGGAATAAAACAAATTCAATAAAAACAGCATACATTGTTGTTTCTTGAGTTGGTTTGAATCTTTTTGTTGTTTGTCTTTGGCAGAGGTTGCAGCAAAAGGTGGCGCTGCAAAGTTTTTGTTGCGCTTTTGTATGTAAAATTTTAGTGAAAACATTGCGGCTTGTGGTTGTAATTTGACAAAATATGACACAGTTGAGCAGGTACGAATGCAACACGATGCAGTTGACACTAACCAAGAATGTAAATCATCATTTGTCCCTGTTATAAATAGCCTTGCCAACAGTTCAGGTTTGGTCATCCATTGTCTGTAGAGGCTCATGCTTGCAGTGGGAGCAGGTTTCTATGTTGAGATGTCATTGGGTGCAAAGTGAAACACATACAGGTTGGACGCAACTCTGTTGGTCTCTACCCAATGAAACCACAGAAACCCATTTCTGTGCACCGCGTCCTGAATGTTCTGCTTAGTGCTTTGTCTTTCCTTCTGGCTGCTGATGCTCAGGTTTAATTGCGGGACAGAGAGATCCTCTCACGTTACCTTGTTATGATTACTCACCCAGGGCGACAGAGCAATCACAAACTGCAAATGTTTCCGGATCGTCGTTTCGCCCTGCAGCAGTGATGTGAGCTGTTCACTTTGGATAGTCTGTGCAGGTCACATCATGCCAAAATGCCAGCGCTTTCTCAAAACAGAGCTGTCCTGTTGCAACGCATTTACAATTTCTGATCTGCACTCATAATGTCACCAACAAAATATAGAGACGAAATGCAAACGTATTGTTCTTCAACATAAGCTCTTTGTCTCAGAATGCTAAATGCAGACATTGTTTGACAAACCAATCATTTTTCCAATTGTGACAGCTCACCAATTATCCTTTTTATGATAAAACAAAGCAGCCAGTTTGTGAAAAGTTTGGAGCCAGGTCTGCCACAAACTGCCAGAAGAGTCTCACATCGGCCATTTTTGAAACAGGACAATTCACCTACATGCCTCAGATTTGAATCGGTTTGATTGAGGGTATTAATGTGTAGTTTACAGTGAACTTGAAATGGTAAATAAGAATTTGATCCAGAACCTGCTGCACAGAGCTCTGAAACATGTTCAGCGTAATGAGCGCAGCAGCGGCTCGTTCTGCTTCACTTCCACCTCTGTGCCACATCAGAGTGCGCTGTGGTGTGAAGTCATGCAGCCAATGGAAATACAGAGACATGATGAGGAAAGCTGTCACCATGGAAACAAATTTAAATCCTAAGCGATTCAGCTCCCGTCTGTCACCTAAAGCCTCTGCTCCAAGATGGACACTGAAGATTTGGTCACGACGCTGCAGGACGTGTGACATCAGCACATTTACAGGTTTATGTTTTTATTGCAAATGTGATAAAAAAAAAAATCCACAATCAGATTCAAGTCATGACTGTATCAAGAAATATTCATCTTTAGTCTGCACATGTTAAGAGGGACAGAGGGGCAGATTGTCAGTCCATCACAGGGTAACACAGGAATCATGCGTCCAATGCACACAGTCATGTCTAAGAACTATCCAGAGACTAACTAACGTGTTTGTGGACTGTGTGAGAAAGCTGGCGCACCGAACAGCGTGTCTGGGGAGTACATGCAAACTTGATGCTCTTAAATCTATCACGTCATTTCTGTTTTAAAGGTAGTAACCCAACCAGACACTCTGACAAAACTTTCTCCAGAAGGAATATTCCGATCACGAAGCCATTGCTTCCAAATTCAGGTCTTTCTGACATTTACCTCTGCCACAGGCAATTAAACTGGACCTTAGGCAATTCCAACATACATCAGTGAACTCTGTAAAGTTCTGGAAAGGCTGTTTAGTTGGTCTTTGAAGCACATGTGGTGATGTCACCAGTTTTTCCCTCTGGTTTGTCTTCAAGCTCCTTTTTACATCTAATTATTTTTTAAGTTTTGCCAATCCTCCAAAGGGATAAAAAAAAAAAGTCTTCTGTCCGTGGCGTAGAAATCAAGATACAATGTGATGAAGAGCAACTTTGTTGTGCATATTAAGTCGTTTTGTCTCCACTTCAGCCTGAAACTGCCCAGAGTCTCTGACATCTGTTTCTTGTTTAGCTCTGAGGAGTTGAGTTTGGATCCTCAAAGCGATAAGTTGCAGCTTGAGGAGCCGTGTGCATGCACCGTCAGCAACAGGCATCCATCGGTTGGAGGTAATAAAAACCATAAATCACAGACACGCACACAGAAAAAGGCGCAGCTGCTAAAACTGTCAGTGTTACCAACATGCCTCCAGATCTATGAAATGGATTCAAAAAGTTTAAACTATGTAATTATTTCCAAAGGTTTTCTGTGACAGTTTGGTTAAATCTTCGGGGGGGATATTATGAAACCCTTCTGGATGTAAAGAAGCAAACAAGCGAGAGCTTGTTCTCTTTCGGGTTATGACGGGGCATGCCAGGACTCCAG